AACATGTAAATTCTTACACTTGAGTGTAATGTCTTTTTTTGAAGTATTTGAAAACGTAAACTATCTCTATAAACAAAAAACGCACGTTTACACAAAGATACGATAGTAAAGAAAAGCACAAAATTAAAATAATATATGTGTTCCGTGCTTCCTTAAGTGTGCAGTATTAAGTAAAATTTATATAAACAGTTTTCCACTAATATTTGTATGCTTTTACAGAGGCGAATTATATATAAATAATTGAACCTAAAAGAGTTCTTTCCTATACATCAAAGAATGCTCTGGTAAATATTGTTTCCTTTATGTTAAACTTTTCATATCATTTTCACAGAAACTTGACCGTAATGATGTATGCATTTTGGACAGGTATTCCAGAGAAGGCGAGACGGGGAACAAGATTTTTACCAAAAATGGGAACCGTATCAATTTGGATTTGGAAACCAGTCCAAAGAGTTTTGGCTTGGTAGGATATCTACCAGTGTATTATATTTCGTTTTACTTTAATATTTACATCAGACAAACAAAATTATGTCATATTTTGCAGACGATACTTTTATGTCTACTCTGAATATTAAGTGCCAAAATAGAGTGAATGCACATGTGATTTACAAAGGGGTCCGTATCGTTGCTTACACTACTTGTAATACAGTACTTATATGAAAGGTATAATGTTTGCAATGATACCAGCCCCTGTAGTGAATTATGTGTCATTGGTTCATACTTGAAATATAAATATTTTGTTTCCTTATACGAACATAGTTCCATACTTTGGAGTGGTATTGGCGAGCGAGTGGTCATCAACGCCCCAAAAGACCAGTAATATTTATTATTACCGTCATCCATTTTACCATCCAAACGTGGTCCATGCATTACACTGCCATCCAAACTTGGTCCATGCATTACATTGTGTATGCATTGCGTTTAGGACAGATTTCAGAGTCTTTGGTGGAACATAGATGTTCAATGACAACACTTATTGCTTTTTATGATACAGAAGAGGTTCTTCTCATTACAATGAGATTCAAGTCACATGGAAAGGAGTTTCTAGGTTGGGTGGGATGGATGGGATGAGATAAAATAAACGCAAATGATTTAAACACATTTTCCTCTGGTAATAGCGCACCTGTACTTGCTTTTTCAGCATTAGATGAAGGTTAAAATATCTAAGCACCATTCTGTATCGTATGTATGAATTAAATTCGATTACATTATCATTCTGTTTTAATTGCTAATCAAAGCTCGCAAATACAAGTTTCATGTTTGAAAGAGTAAAATAAATAAACAAATAATGTTATGAAATCACTGAAAAACACCATTTGTTTTCCAGGTAATGAGTACCTACACTTAATAACCTCCCAAGGATTGTATGAATTGAGAATAGACATGGAAAGTTTCGACTTTGAAGAAAAATATGCCAAATATAATGTATTCCATGTTGCCAGTAGAGGCGAAAAGTTTCAATTGTCTATCTCTGGATTCAGTGGTGATGTTGGTGAGTCAGTCTCTCTCTCTCTCTCTCTCTCTCTCTCTCTCTCTCTCTCTCTCTCTCTCTCTCTCTCTCTCTCTCTCTCTCTCTCTCTCTCTCTCACACACACACACACACACACACATACACACACACACACACACACACACAGATAAACTTCACATACACACACACAGATGAACTTCAGCTGACTTTGTGGGGAATGTTTAACTGCTCTTTTTAAATGGAGACACACCAACCTTCAGACATTCTTTACCTCTTTATAATTTAATATTTGTATTCACAAAACAAGGTCAAAGAAAATTGGGCAATAGCCAGGGAAAAAAATGATAACGACTATTCAGAGTGGCCTTTATAAAACGATTATTCCGAGTGGCCTTTATAAAACGACTATTCCGAGTGGCCTTTATAACAAACTCGACCCTTATAGATGCTAGAAGTACTTAAGAAAAATAACGAGTTTTTTGTACGGAAAAGAACCGAAACATAATTCAAAATGTTGGCAAACAAGACGAACTATATTCAGGCTCTTATAAGTTTTATTTATTATACTAGAATTTGGGAAATTTGTAGCTGTCATACCATCCTGCCTTAATATTAGATGAAGTGTGTGTGTGTGTGTGTGTGTGTGTGTGTGTGTGTGTGTGTGTGTGTGTGTGTGTGTGAGAGAGATTTTATTTATTATACTAGTATTTTGAAAATTTGTAGCTGTCATACCATCCTGCCTTAATATTAGATGAAATTTTGTGTGTGTGTGTGTGTGTGTGTGTGAGAGAGAGAGAGAGAGAGAGAGAGAGAGAGAGAGAGATTTGAGATTTTTTAACATAATATTTTTTAAAAATCAGATGTCTGCAGTCTGCAATGTGGCAATTTATAGTGATGTCTAGCACTGGTGTATCATGCCTCAGACATGTAGCATGATGTCCCAGCCAGTCACATTATCATGACACCAGGCCTACCAGTCCTAACACTAACCTCTTAATGCTGAGCGCCAAGCAAAGCAGCTGTTAGTACCATTTTTGTAAGTCTTTGGTATGACTCAACTGAGGATCGAACCCGCGATCTCCCTCATCCGTGACCGACGCTTTATCCACTAGGACCGAAAAAAAGTGAGATAAATGACATTACTGACGCAGCCGTGATCCGGTTGTTCAGGGATCAGTGAGATTTCAAAATGCAATTGTTGATATCAGACAGTACGAGTCAGACTAATGATGCTTTGCAATGTGTTGAGTCTTGTCAAAGGAGAGGCCTTTTGCTTGTCTGCATATATTTGACTCTTGGTTTGCATTTTTAATCTGTATGTCGCACACACTCATTTGCATACTAACATACCTTTATCACGATATTAAATTTATATTTTTGTTTTGTGTTCAGATAACATTGTGAAGTAGAAAGCTAAATAAATGTGCTACTTTTTAAACTATCAAATGAATCACAGAACCGATTATGTGACTTTGTCCGTTGTTGTACCACATATTTATCATAATATTCAATCAGTAACGTCCGGTAATTATAAGTAGATTGTACAGTATCTACTCTCGTATAAATCTGATCCAGCTGCCAACAGCACAGACTCCGATCTGACGTTACAAATTGCAAAAGGAGTTCTGGTTCTATAAAATTCTTTAAGACTTCTCAGTAGATCAAAGAAACCTGGTCTGACAGTGCATTATACGAAGGCAGATCAGGGTTCAGCTGGGCCTAGGGTATATGAGGAAAAGACGGTAAGCTAATTAGAGTTAACTTTACATTGTGGACCTTAGTAGCATGATGTCTTCGTCTTACATTTTAGATAACTCCTTTTCTAACCACAACGGACACAGATTCTCAACAGACGACCAAGATAATGATTTCGAGATTGGCTCATGCGCAAACGCTTTTAAGGGCGGCTGGTGGTATTCTAACTGTTTGACAGTCTGTCTAAATGGACAGTACCTCGGAGGAAAGCACGAGTCCAAGGCCAATGGGATTCATTGGATGTCATGGACGGGTATTTTCTCATCTTTAAAGTGGACCGAAATGAAGATAAGACCAGTTGATGGAACAATGGTCAGAACATAGCGACACCATTTCCGAACAAATGCCATTCGCTGTTGTAATATTCAATTTGGGAATATATTGTTTGTGTTCAGAAGATGTACAATAGGGTTAATTTTTAGTTTTAATGAAGAGAGTTACTTCCCTTTACCTAATATCTTTACCCGTATACAAGCAATGATCGACCGTTATTATTCATGGTCATCGATTAATAAATTAACACTTGTATTTGCTTGCATGTGCATTAAAAAATAAACCAGATGCATATGTAATGCAGTCATAAATTGTTGTATTTAGTGTGTTATAGAACGTACAGTAATGTGTGTGTGTGTATGTATGTATGTATGTATGTATGTATGTATGTATGTATGTATGTATGTATGTATGTATGTATGTATGTATGTATGTATGTATGTATGTATGTATGTATGTATGTATGTATGTATATTTTCTTTTCCTACGTTAATATTAAATGCATTTCTTCGTTTGGTATTGAGTACGGGATATTTTAACGTATTAAAATGCATCGTTTGTTGTACTACCAGATGAAATATATCCAGTGTAATGATAACAACAATGTTTTTTTTTTGTACTGTATGCCAGAATAAACTCATTCTTCTTTATACCCTATCCCTACCCTACTTTTCTGAAGTTCACATTAATTTCAATTGCGTTTATTGGTTCATTATAAAATATCAGCGATTTGGGATGAGCTAATATGTTGCAATAAATTTAAATTTTCGATAGTTTGTAAATTGTTACATACCACAAAAGCAAGTCCGATCGTGGATGCTACACACATGGATGTTCACAATGTCAAGGTAGTAAAATGAACGTTGCTTCATAGTGAAGGAACTAGTGGGAAGTCGAATCTCTTGGGCAAAAAATAACTTCCATGCCTTGGGGATAATGCAGTTTCCATTTAATGTTCAAACTCAACAAAATGATTGTGTTATAGTTTACCTGCTGCAAAAATTGCTAACGTTGGCACAAACAATAAAGGATCCCATAGAATAGTAAGAAGTCTCATATTTTCATATGTGAAAAGATGACACAATTTTCACATGTAAAAATGATAGAATTTTAAAAATGTGAAAAGTATTACACAAATATTTTTCTGTGTTTCACTCTTAAGTATACAACAAAATATTTATATTTTCTTTAAAGGATAACAACACAAACAAAGACGGTATTTTTAGTGTGTGTGTGTGTGTGTGTGTGTGTGTGTGTGTGTGTGTGTGTTTGATTTGGATTTTTGGAGTAACTTTTAACATTCTTTCAGTCATGTCGCTGCGGTTTTTGCAGTTTCGCTGTTCATAGTGCTGTCTAGCACTGGGGCGTCATGATGCAGACATGTTGCATGATGTGCCACCAGTCACATTATCTTGACACCATGTTGATTAGTCCTAACACTAAATTCTTAATTCCGAGCGCCTAGCGAGGCAGCTGTTAGTGCCATTTTTATGTCTTTGATTTGACTCGGTCGAGATTTTCGAACCCGCGACCTCCCGCAACAGAGGCGGACGCTCTACTCACTGGGCCACCGGTGCACTGTATCTTTTATGTTATTTAAGAACTAAATTCTTCAGAAATATATTGAAGAATATGATTCTTTTCTAATGTGAAAGAGTAAGTTCAAAAAGGTATATATATATATATATATATATATATATATATATATATATATATATATATATACATATATATATATACTGTGCTATCCCTGGATTCTGTAGTAGAATCTTGATAACAGTGGGTTTGAAACTCTGCAGAGCACGAATTTAATTTCTGTATGATAGTATTGTTTGTATTAAACTATGTATATATATATATATATATATATATATATATATATAGGTAGGTAGGTATTATTTTCAAAGTAATGTCGAGCAATAAACGTCAGTAAAAAAATGACGTAAGCAACATAGTCAATCTTTCAATGAATTTTACACTTTTACTTTACCTTTCATAACATTTCTTTGAATAAGTAAGATGTAACTATGCAAAATAAAGAAATCTGTAACTTTGCAGAATAAGGTAATATAACTACACATAATAAAATCTGAAACTATGCAGAATAAAGTAATCTGTAACCATGCGGAATAAAAAAAATAATCTGTAACTGCAAAATTAGGTGATTTGTAACTATGCAGAATAATAACAATCTCTACCTATGCAGAATAAAATGATCTGTAACAATGCGGCAATATTTATAAATGTATTTTATATGATCTATTTCCAAAAAGACATAGATACAGATGTGTGTGTGTGTGTGTGTGTGTGTGTGTGTGTGTGTGTGTGTGTGTGTGTGTGTGTGTGTGTGTGTGTGTGTGTGTGTTGTAATCTAATATTTATGTCGAAAGAAACCAACGGTTAAGTCGTTGTCTGGGTTAGGAGTATCAGGATTATTGGTTGCTGATATTGTATTGTACTAGTAGTGCTTTATTTGGTTTATTGAACCTAGGAAACGGAATATAAGTTTATTTACCAAGGATATAGTGAGGCAGCTTATTAGTTCTGGTTTGGGCAGGTATTGATCCCAAGACTCTTTGATTACGAATCTATCAGCTGAGCTTCATGGCTCATTCTTGTTGTCATGGTTACTTGCACATCTCATTTCGTCTGTTCATACCATGAAATTACAATATATAGTCGATGTCTGGTGATCTCTACAGCATAAAAGCTATAACACAGGGTCTACGTCCCAGAAAAAAAAGAACAAACCCATGGGATAATCTCTACTGCATATCTGAATAGGACATTTTATGTTGTGTGTGTGTGTGTGTGTGTGTGTGTGTGTGAGAGAGAGAGAGAGAGAGAGAGAGAGAGAGAGAGAGAGAGAGAGAGAGAGAGAGAGAGAGAGAGAGTAGGGTGAGGATATTATAAATTTTCAAAGTATGCCTTATGGGCCACACCTGTTGTTGTTGGCTTCCGTTAGTCTCGAGAGACGATGGAAATGCGTCCATGAGAGGCATCCCAGTTTGTAGTTGTCCAGTGTCTTCTGTGGCTACGGAGCCCCACATGGGAGTGGCAATCCTTGCTGCAGTTGCTGCACTTGAAGGTTAAGTCAGGTCTGGGTTGGAACTGCATCCTCTTCCTCTGAGTTTTTTTTTTCTCATCAGCTAGCTGTCGTAACCTTTCCACGCTGGCTTTCAGACCTGTGAACAGAGCATGTCGCCAGCTGGACTTGTCGAGGGCAAGCTCTCCCCAGGTGTTGACATCGATCCCAGGAGCTTTCATGTCGTGCTTGCAGACATCTTTGAAGCGAAGATGTGACCGTCCGATTGATCTTCTGCCAGAGGCAAGCTTAAGAGTAGAGAAGGTCTTTGGGGATCCGTCCGTCATCCATTCGATGTACATGGCCCAACCATCTGATGCGACGTTGGCGGAAGAATGTGACCATGTTGGGAATTTTGGCATGTTGAAGCACCTTGTTGTTTGTCACACGATCGATCCAAGTTATCCCGAGTATGCGACGGAGACAACGCATGTGAAAGGCACTCAGTCGTTTATACTGAGAGGCATACAGGGTCCAGGTTTCGCTGGCGTACAGGAGAGTGCTAAGCACGCAGGCACGGTACACGGAGATCTTAGTGTTCAGTGTCAGTATGCTGTTGTTCCACACTCTCTGCGACAATCTAAAGAGAGTTGTTGACGCCTTACCAATCGGCGTCGAGTGAGATGCTGTTGGTGATGGTAGAGCCAAGGTAAATGAACTCACTGATTTCTTCTAGTTTGTAATTGTTGATGATGATGCTGGGAGGGTCCGCGTCCTGAGCCATCACGTTGGTTTTCTTTAGGCTGATGGACAACCCGAATTCATCGTGTACTTTAGCAAAGCGGTCCATCAGCCGTTGTCGTTTATCTTCTGTGTGAGTGACTATAGCATCATCTGCAAAGAGTATGTCCCTAATGATTGCTTTCCATACTTTGCTCATTGCCTTTAATCGTACCAGGTTGAACAGTCTGCTGTCTAAACGCGTGTGCAGGTAGATCCCTTCTGTGGACATCTCGAAGGCGTACTTAAGCAGGACAGCGAAGAAGATGCCAAAGAGCGTGGGGGCAAGGACACAGCCTTGTTTCACTCCGCTGTGGATGTTGAATGGTTCGGACGATGAGCCATCATACTGCACTGTGCCTTTCATGTCGTCATGGAAGGACTTGACCATGCTTAACAGCTTTGGAGGGCATCCAATCTTCGTCAGGATTTTGAAGAGTCCGTCTCTGCTGACCAGATCGAATGCATTGGTGAGGTCTATAAAAGCCAGGAAGAGGGGCATGTGTAGTTCTCTGCACTTCTCCTGCATTTGCCTGATGGAGAAGATCATCTCGATTGTGGCCACACATGTACCCTCAGGGCAAATAACATGGATTCTTTTAAAATAAAAACGCTAGCTTTGATATGCTTTGACTTTTAGTTTTTATCACAGATACACGCAAACAAGTTCAATAGCACCAAAACAAACAATTTATTATTTTTTAATATTACGTCTTACTATCCATCTCCTTAATCTCAACGTGGTAAAGGGTTAACATTCTAAAACCATTTTGCGCAGATCATCCATTCCTAACCATATTCTACGGCATATGGTACCTATCTTAAATGCAATAGTTGTGCGACGCTGCGCATGCACTCTCGGATCGACGTTAACGATGACATAATGTACCATTTTTTTTTTAAACTTTGGAACAGAAATGTAATTCCAAGTGAAAGATTAATTAATTCGGACGCTTCTAAGTTGTGCTTCGATGTTAAATATGGCCGTAATACAAGATAACATCACCTGGGATAAATGGATGTTATCAAAGAAAACTGAGCTCATACAAAGTAATTTTAACGTCATTTTGTTATTACATTGTACATTCAAACCTTGATATATCCCATATTATTCATAATAGTTGTATAGAAATAAATGTCTTATACTTCTGGATAGATCGCTTTTACGTGAAACTACATGAAGTCGTATAATGTCATTTTATGCATAAAGGACCTTGTCTCAAATATTAGGATTAGCCATTTTTTTTTACAGTTTCTTTAAGTATTATTGATAGTGAAAAGTTTCTTCGGATCGTACATCAACGAATTTCAATAGAAATTAACTAGTCGGTCCCTATACGTACATTTTATATCCGTTAGTAACAAATTATTTTAAATTATGTCACTAAATATACTTCACATGTTAATTATAACCTTTTTGTTGAGATAGGATATACGCAGAATACGATCTGCATCCATAATTTACATGCACCTAACCAGGAAATACAAAGTGCGATGATGACCCTCGTCATGACAGCTTTTATCGTCTTACTCGCGCAGAAATTGCATATAGTAGAAATCCGCATTAATTATTGTTAGTGTCACTGATTACTGTTGCATTATTACTGGTGAATACGTGTACTTGGTTACTGAGCATTACAACAGTCCTCGCATTCTGACTTGGAACGTCAGAGGAATTTTGTCATCTGTATAGTGAGTCAGTAATTAAGGATTGATATCGCCGTAATATGTGAACATAAACTGACAAAACAAATAAGGAGTTGTTTTAGATGTACTGCATCGTGATACACAATTTGCACAAAAAACTGTAATACTGGAAATTGATTAATAGCGAAAAGTTGAAGACGTGGAGTATCAATTATGATTGTGTATAAACAATTCAAAGAAAACCCAAACAATTTGGCCGATTCACTAAAAGCACTAACCTGTACTGATCACATTGTTTACATTGAATTAAGATAAGTGAAAACGTCAGTCTTTTTATTTAGTTCGTATCTATCATCTGATGTTAACGTAATATTTTAATCGAGAATATTAATATAGTTGAATCCCTATCGTATTGCTCGTTGTAAGGTGAACCTTCTTAGCATGCAATACCGGATACAGGGAATCGCCATCATCATATTACAACTAACGTGTTCACGGCTTTTTTTTGGCAACGACTTGATACCATTGATCAATTTAAATAAAGGAATGGATTATATATGAAATACTCACGAAAAAACTCGTGACTAAACAATTGTTAAAATAAAAATGCGAGATAAGCGTGGTCAGAAGAAACGCTTCGAAAATCCCTGTTAAGTGTGTTAGGGAGTGATGATTTGATATGATCTCCGCACCTGTCATGGTGCTTTGATTGTCGTTATCTAGAAAATGATCTACCTCGGGGTTATTGGTCGAATAGTGTAATTAATAACACAAAATATGAAACTAATGGATAGAATAACAGAGATCTTAGCAAAGATATAGCACAGAACAATAGGAGCCCCCATATCTAAAATACAACAGTTTATTCAATTATATTTTTAAAAGAAGGAAATTGAACATGACAGTTTGGGTGATATGATTTCTGTTAGAAATGAAATTACAAAATTGATGCGCAGTGCTATTAACGGTTATGTGATGCTGATAAAACAAACTTCATCATAGACTCGAGTAAATGATCTAACTCAAATTGCCGGAAAGTCAGTATAACCTGGTTGCTTCAGGTCCATTTCAATATCACTGTTGGAGATAGGTCGGCGCTGTCGTATTTATTGTGTGTGTGTGCGTG